CTCTGGTAGAGCTCTGTGTGATAAGATGTGTGTATACATACACAAATAGGAAATGTGTATGTAAGAAAGGTGCACCACATGGCTTCTACTACACAGAAATTTCATCAGGAGATCTTCTTTTCTATGTTAGTTGCTCAATCATGCCCCAGTTCATAGATATGAGTATTCCTGTCACAGACCTTCAATCAACATCTCCTTATGAATCCATGGTTACATTTTCAAATGAACAAAGGAGCAATGATAAACACATCAACTGAACATAGCCAAAGTACGTGACCAGTTTATGGAAGATGCAAGATGAAAACATGAAGGAAAATAGTACATACAGGTCGCATAATTTGCTAAAATGCTTCCCATCTACCAGCAGTTGCATATTATACACTGTGTTGTATTGCTCCACGTCAGAGCTCTTCTCCTTTTCAGCAAATGTAGTTAACTCTCATTTTTCTCATTACTTTATTTTCTGACTTAATTGGGTTTTGCCATCTGTTTTAAGTCCTGCTTAAACTTCTAAGTCTTTTCACTCTTTCTATCTTTTATTTCTTAAATATGAGATTTTTCAATATAGCTAAGCTTTATTTCTGAATGTTAACTATTTTTTCGGAGAGGAAAATGATTTCTATAGGCTATTGCCCTTTTAATCACAAGTAGCTTTTAAAAATGCCTTTTAAGTGGCCATCTGTCTGACATAGTTGGTCCTGTTTCATTTAAACCCTGTGTCTGCAGTTGAACAAGTAAAGGTTTGAACAAGAAGCATCACTAAACAGAAGAAAGTGACGTGTCAACTTTGGTAAAGAGAATAATGGAATGGCAAGTGAGTTTTTTAAATGATCTAACAGAGTTATAGTTTTATGATCCAGGGAATATGTTTACAAAAGTGAGAGACCTAAATGAATGTCAGATAAATAAATTATAATCTGCCATTCTGCCTAAATTGATTTCAGTAAAATTGCCATTCACAGACATGGGATCAGTCAGGTCCATGAAGAAATTAAATTAGGTGCTACTTTTCTTGACACTTTGGATACATTCATTAAGATCAACTATTGCTTTTAATTATGGTACTTGAATTCTTCCAAGCAAATCCCCAACTTGTACTGTAGAAATTGCTTCAACTGAAAAGGGTCTGTATACAGCTAGAAAAGAAACAATTTGAGTGGTAAAAAGTATGAATTGCCACCTGATTTCTTCAGCTAGGCAATAGATACGATATCAATTGATGGTTACCTGAAATGTACAAACTGACACTGCTTTAATTTTTGTGGAATGAAAAAAATAAAGCAATGTACAAGAGATGCAATATTAAAAGGAAAATTTGCTTTAATGTAAGGAAAATATCCCCACAATGATGGTGCTCAACACTGGAATAGCAGCCGAGGGAAGCTGTGAAACTCCATCTTTGGACGTACTGAGAACTCAGCTGGAAAAGGCCATGAGTCCTAATGTACCTTTGGCCCAATCTAACTTAGATACTGGCACTACTTTCAATCACAGGTTGAACCAGATGACCTCCTGAGGTCTCTTCCAAGCAAAATCACTCTCTGATTTGTGGTCTCAGTCAAACTGACAAAAGTTTTTTTTGTAGACAGCGCTGTACTTGCAGATATTTACCATTTTCAGCACAGATTTTCAACTCTCCTTAACAGTACATGTTTTATTTGCAGGAAAGTGCCATATCACAAATTCAGTCTTTTTTCTACTCTCTGGACACATAGAAATCAAGTGTTGAAACAATAACCAATGACCAGAAATCTTGGTGGGTTAGCAAAGCCCTTTTTCATGATTTTCATAGCAAATATTTGTATCCTTCCATGGGATTCAGAGAGAATGAACAGTAACATATTAAAAGCAATGTCAATGGCCACGTGGCCCTAACAGCTGCCCATTCCTAATTTGCCTACTTCCCTGAGGAGTTCATCTACAAATATGACCACTCATCCCCATGTTACAAAACAACTGAACTGGACTCCTGAAATATGAATGAGAGTTGCTTTGACCGGCACTTGCAGCTTGTACTACACTTTTATAAAGCACTTAGGGTGTTGTCTGGAACAGATATGGATATACATATATACAAGCTGGGAATGGACTGACAGAAGCCTCATAAAGTTCAACAAGGGGAAACACAAAGTCCTGCACATAGCAAGGAACAACTGCATGCACCACTCTATGCTCGGGACTGCCAAGCTACAAAGAAGCTTTGCAGAAAAGGACTTAGGGTTCCTGGACACCAAGTTCATAGAATCACAGAATGGTTTGGGTTGGAAATGACCTTGAAGGTCATCCAGTTCCTACCTCCTTGCCGTGGGCAGTGACAGCTTCCACTAGACCAAGCTTCTCAAAGCCTCATCCAACCTGGCCTTGAATAATGCCAGGGATGAGGCAGCCACAGCTTCCCTGGACAAGCTGTGCCAGTGCCTCACCATCCTCACAGTAAAGAATTTTTTCCTAATATCCAATCAAAATCTCCCCTCTGTCAGCTTAAAGCCATTCTCCTTGTCCTGTCACTACACACCCTTGTAAAATATCCCTCTCCGGCTTTCTTGTAGGCCCCAATTAGGTGTTGGAAGACTGTTGCCAGGTCTCCCCTGAGCCTTCTTTTCTTGACATTTTAAACCTTTTAATTCTTCTTCATTGTCATGAAGCTTTAGCAGCCAGGAAAAAAATCACAACAGAAGTCTAGACTCCTCGATAAATCTTTAACTAATATTTCATTAATGTTGAGTAAGCATGCTCAGATGCTTATGAATTGTTTTCAAGCAAACTGGAATATTACAGTCAATTTGATGGGAAGTCTCATGAAGATATATTGTTGATTTATCTAAATATTAATTCAGGATGCAGTAGGGTCTTCCTCCATCTTTAGCATTGTTTTACTTCTTAATTATTGTCACACTATGGTGTTTCAGACCTGGCAGTGTGATTAAAAAGTAGGAGTATATTCCTTGTAGTTAATATTTTATTATAGTTCTCCTTTCATTTAGACTCTGCCTTAATTAAATTGTAAGCCTGACTCAACAGCTTTCCAAATATATCTTCTATAGAGGTATGTGGGCTGTTTCCATAGCATAATGAGGAGAATGCAATGTGTGACAGTTTTACTGCTACTCTTATTTCAGTTGTGTCAAGCAGAGATATCACCTGTGTGGATATTTTATCTTTTACAGGAGGCACTGGCACTAATTTTCTGCACAGTGAAAGATCAGGTGCAGTGCAAGCCAATGTGTAACGAAAAGGTAATCGTCTGCTATGCTTCGTCACCCTTATGCCTTGGTATGAAATAAACTTGATGGTAACTGATTTTAGCTTATGCCATGTGCTTATGACTGAGGAAAAACAAGGAATGAAATAAAGTTATAGCTTGGCCTGGCCTGGTCTTCACACACTTTCCAAGTCCCCTGGCTTCTCCTGGATCTCCTGGAAAACCTGAATCCTCTTAGCTGACTATGCAAGCCAACAACTAACTGTTGAGGATCCCATTGCAGCTGGTGAAGATGCAGTCAACATTATCAATAGAATTAGGAATCAGTTGATATACCCGCATGCTAACATCAACTTTAAGATTAGATTGAGACATGCATTCTATTTTTATACTTAAACCAGGTTTTGAATTAATTGTAAAGGGTGATTAAAGTGATGACCTGCTGACGGGTCCGTGCTGATGTTTTAGACACCTACATTTTACCACCTAAGTCCCATTCCAAACACAGGAAGCTTCATTTTGTGTGATATTTCTAGCAAAGGAAGCCACTAAGTAGCAGCCATTGCCTTCCTCACTCCCCTTCACATGTCTACTTTCATTAACCCACCACCAAAACACAGTATTTCCTAATTGGCCAATTAGTCAAACCTCAAGAATCAGTTGACATGGTCTGGTATTGGCCAATTTAACTTCTCCCTCAGGGAGTTTCTGTCTGGAAACAAAAATGAACTATTAAAGACATTACAGGAATCAATAGCAAACAACAGCATTGCACTTAACTTTCCCTCACAGCAACGCGCACATGGTGGCAAATATATATCCTCTTGCTAATTCTCTTTGTAACAATACCAAAAGAAATCTAACATACTTTTTTCAGTAACATCAAAACATCCAAATTCACGGTTATACCAGTAATGTCAAAACTACATCAAGTAGAATGCTTGATTGATAACAAAAAATTGAACAGCACATCAAACAGTGTTATAATACTCCCATCCACACACCTGCCATCCCAGTCAATGCAGCACACATTGTGAATATATTAAGAAAGTAAGATGCATTGATCATTGTCAGGCTGACAAAGAATTATCATACTGTTGATGCTGAAGTAAATTGCAGGGTATTGTAAATATATTATGAATATTAGAAAGTAAATTTTGTAATTTTAAGTCCAAAATATTGCAAACTCCACATCTTCTTACCTGTTGATTTGCATTATTATTTAAACAGTAACCAGAGGTGAAATATCAAGCAAAAAGATTTGACGCTATGCACAAATTTTGTTTCAAAACTTAACCCCACCTCCAAACTTCCATTCCCACCAGAAAAGAAATAAACAACCACTTTTCATTTGCCCTTTTGAAGACAATTTATAATGACAATCAAATGCAATAGCACCTGGCAATGCATACAGATATCACAATTTACACTGATGGAGATCGAGATTTGTGAATCTTTCTCAAACTTTGTACATCCTCATGGTGTTGTGTTTAGACTTTTATCCAGGATTCTGTGGCTGCCTCTTCAGTAAATGTACTGCTCATGTTGACACAGGATGAAACAGAATCATCCTTGTTTCTTGAGGTGCAATAATGCCCAATTAAATAGATATCTCTTTGTAAATTTTAAGTGATCAGCTTATATACGGTTGATAACTGGGGTAGCAGGGGAGCAAAAGGAGAAGCCGTACTCATCCATCATGATTTATTCTCATTGCTGTATTCCCAAAGAAGTTATCATAGAAATTGTCAGAAATTATACAGAATTGTCCGAAATTATACAAAACCCAACTAAAACTGGTTAGAAGATACAGTTAAATAGTTACACATTTGTTTTCATCCTCGGTTGAGCCAACAGTAATTAACAGACACATGTGTGTGTCTGTGTAGGTATATGTGTGCTTTAAAGAGCATGCAACTAAAATATGCTTTGAAAATGTCAAAGCACATTGTTCCAGCATGGTCCAACATTGATCAGTTTCCTTGACAGCTGGAGAGCGTCACAGGAACTTCAGTTTGAATGCTTCAGGCTCCTTATCTCTCCTGTGGATTTAAATTTCCAGATGGACAACAATTCCAGGATATGCTATGATTTTATTGCTCCAAGGTTCAAACAAAGCAGGTCAGTGTACTGTAGTGTACTGTGAATTTGATTCAGGCCAAGACTCTGACCTACAGTAGAAACTAAGGATAAAAGGCAGTGACCTTCAACTTTCATGAAAGTGAATTAGAGGCTGCAGCAGCAAAGGGAACCTTGTGGTTGGTACCTGCTACGGACCACTTTATCAAGGTGAGCCTAATGAGGAAGCCTTGTTACTCCAGTTATGGAAGGCATTACACTTGTAGGTTCTCATTCTTCTGGGGGACTTCAAGCACCCTGATATCTGCTGGAAAAGTAGCACAGGTTGCTGCAGGCTCTGAGCAAACTGATCTAGTTGAAGATATCCATGCTCATGCAGGGGAGTTCTACGAAATTACCCGTAAAGGTCCCTTACAACACAAATTATTCTATGATACTATGATTCTGCATTTCTATGATTTTATGTGCAAGTGGGATGGCAGCAATCAATCAGTACATTTTTTTTTCCAGGGATGAACACTTACTTGTGATAGACACTGATCTGTCCTTCCCTTGCTTCAGAGTGTTCTATCCCTTCTATCCTTTCTTTTTCCTGGCAGCCAGCATTTGCCTGGCTCAACACTTAACCTTAAAAGAAAAGGAATAAATAGATTATTCTAGAAATTTAATCCCATTTGAAGCATCCAGAAGTGATTTCTAGAACATCACATGGCACGAGGCCAGAGGAGCACTTTGGTTTTGTCTTTTGTTTGATTGGCCGTGGAGGTTCTGCCCTTGACTTTGTGGTTAATGCTTAAAACAGTCTCATACTGGATTATAATTGATTGTGCTCAATAGAAATAAAGTTCATTGTGCCTGTCAATAAGAATCTTGTCTCCTGACTCAATATTCTTGAAGTTGATCAAATTCTAACCTTTCTCATTCAATACACATAAGTATGAACCAGATGATTGCTCCCTGTGTAGCTTGGATGTTGGAGAGCCTTGGTGATTTGGGGAATAGCCTAAAAGTTCCTTCAGGGGAGAAGCTGAGCCATGCCATGGGAATAACAGAGAAAGTTTACAGTGCATACCATTATATCCTGGTCCCCAGGATCTAGAACGGAGTGGGAGGCTTGTTGGATAAAGCCTATACTTATGTATACAGAGAGCTAACGGTTTAAAACTTAATATTGAACAGAAACAATACATGGGTATTTGGAATAGGTGAGTTCTCGGGGGAAAATAAGTTGCCAGGCAAAATTACTGAAATACACTCACTGTTTTTTACAGGAAGGCAATACTACACACTCTTGGTGTCATATATACAGGTTGTTGTTCTTTGGAAATGTACCTCTTTCACCACCATAAACTTGGATTCAAGGGGGGGGGGGTCAGTTTGGAGGTGTTTTTTTGTTATTTTATCTTTCCTACTTCATCATTTTCTACATGATGCAGCTTGTTGGAACAGTGCCATGAAACACTAACTCACTGGGGAGACATCAGCTCTGACGAGAGAGACCTGGGGCCATTCAATGACCTGTGCATGTCACCCACCTCAGTATAGAACAATCCTTGAAGACACCTTTTCCTTTAATAAAATCAGTCAAGCTTTTAGACCATAGAAAACTTCAGCATATCAGTATCATGTAGTCTGTATTCTCACTGCTGGAAAAAAGATCTTCTCACAGTGTGAAGAAAATGTCTTCCTTCCAGCCCCTTTACTCTGCTCTTGTGAGACTTCACTTGGAGTACTGTGTGCAGTTCTGGTGTCCTCAGCATAAAAAGGACATGGAACTGTTGGAACAAGTCCAGAGGAGGACCACGAGAATGAGCAGGGGACTGGAGCACCTCCCATATGAAGACAGGTTGAGAAAGCTGGGTCTGTTCAGCCTGGAGAAGAGAAGGCTGCATGGAGACATCAGAGCAGCCTTCCAGTATCTAAAGGGGGCCTATAGGGATGCTGGGGAGGGACTCTTCATTAGGGACTGTAGTGATAGGACAAGGGGTAATGGGTTAAACAGGGGAAGTTTAGATTGGATATAAGGAGGAAATTCTTTCCTGTTAGGGTGGTGAGGCACTGGAATGGGTTGCCCAAGGAATGTGAATGCTCCATCCCTGGCAGTGTTCAAGGCCAGGTTGGACGAGGTCTTGGGTGATATGGTTTAGAGCGAGGTGTCCCTGCGCATGGCAGGGGGTTGGAACTTGATGATCTTAAGGTCCTTTCCAACCCTAGCTATTCTATGATTCTATGATTATATTCTGTTTGATCCTTGAATAATGTGCCAAATTTCCAAGTTCTCCTATTTCATAGCAAGAATCACTGCCCCAACAGGAAGTAAATTGCAAACACCAACACATTTCAGATAGTTTCCTAATATTGACTTAGAGATGATCATAGAGACATTAAAGTAAAAGATTTAGAATTATATCATTCCAGAGGTCTCCCATTTCTCCTTTTGCTATGGTAAACTTCTATAGAATGATTTAAATAAGTTTTTTTTACAGCTTGCTCACTATTTAGCTTTGCTTTTGTCCTCCAAATATACTAAACATGTCTATCTTCTTCCATTTATGTCCCCTTTTTAGTCTTCCTAGGTTGCTTTACAGAGAAGAAATAACCATGAAGCAGTGATGTTCAGAGGTTTGCCAGCAACACATAAATATTTATATGCGCTCCATACTGAAGACTTTCCACTTAGCTCAAATACATGTATAAATCAGACATTTATATATAATTTTCATATGAAAGGCCAAATAGAGATGAGATAGTTTCATGCTTTCTTTTAATACACGAGCTTGAAGGTCAATGTTCTTTTATTGTGCCTTTGAAGATTTATATTTGCGTTGGCTTTTTGTCTTTGCGTATAGGGCTCAGTCATAAATACGCTTTAGAGCAGTAGCCTTCTACCTCTGAAGACCTGGTTCCAGTCCTTATCTAGATCAAACACAGGGAGGTTAGTGGTCTCGTCATGCTCTCTAGTGGCTGCTTCTCTCCTGAGCAGCTGCCATGCTCCAGGGAGGGCTGGCTCTGGAGCTGCCGCAATCCCTAGCAAACCAAAGCACAAAAACAAGTGGATGGTCGTTCTGCCTTGGATCTAGTCATTCCTCAAGCACGTCTTAATATCTTACCTCAGAGAACCAGGGAATATATATCTCAATGACAATCATCCCAATTTTATTCTTAATAATTCTATATCCGGAATCAATAATGGTCAAACTGACAAAAAAACTAGCTAACAATTTTTTTTTTCAGTTATTTTATTCAACCTTATCTAAAAATTGAAAAGAACTATTGAGGTTAGTGGGAATGGCCTGGCTGACACCAGTGGGCTTTGAACCATGAGGCCAAACATATGCCTGGTTCTCACTGGCGCTAAATTCTATGAGTTTTCAAATTGGTGTAAAGCTCTCCCTGGGACAGTTTTTTCATGCATTTTAGAATTATCAAATTGCTGCTGGGTGGGTCCTTGAAGTACAGAAATAATTCACAGATGTTTATAAGGGAATTGTATTTGCAACCTTTAAAATCCTCAGAGAAAGTTTTGGTTTAAGTTCTACATGACAATGCAGATCAGAATTATTTCCTGAATCAAAAAAAAAAAAAAAAAAAAGGCAGTGGAATAAAGCTGAGATTCATCAAAAACAAGCAAATCACTCATTTCCTCATACCTCTAGCACAGAGAATGTAAACTACTGTCTTAAGGAGACCATAATTCTGATTTTCAGGGTTACTTCAGTTTAATGCTAAAATACATAAAGTGGAATCCTGATACAGTGATTTGGTTTCCATTCTAGTCCTCCCAGTGGCATGACCCCAATTCTCCCACCTGCTGTAGCAGTCTGTTCACACAATTCTTTTAATTTTCAGATACTGATGGCCTTCTGTTACCCACCCTTCACCATTCCCATTGCATAGGGCTGATGGGAAGGCACCCCTTCTCTGAAGGCTGTGACCAAATGGGCTTGTTGACTTCCTTCCCCCACAGTGGGGGTGATACTGTGGGGGCTTACGAGAGAAACATAAAAGTGATTCTTTCCATTTGTGGGATGTAGGTGGTCAAGAGAAACAAGAGCCCTTGTAGAAGTTTTACACGAGATACACAGATGGCTTCGGGGGTGTGGCAGACTCTGTTGATGTTAAAAGGATGAAGGAAGCCAAAAACGACTTGTGACAGATGCTTTCAAGCTATGGAGTATTTAAAGAAGATTGAATTAACTTTATAAATGTTAGGAATGTTTCCTAACTTCAAGTTTCTCTTGCAGTAGCTGCATTCCCAGATAAACAAGACATGAGATATTTCCTTCAAGCCAAAAAACATGTAGAGAGATAGGTAATACTGTCTTCAAGTGGAAGATGCTTAAAGCTCATTCTCCAAGGGAACTGATGCACAAACTGTTTACCAAAGGAAGTTTCGACCATTTGTTAAAATAGTAGTCTTGACTGAGGACAGGAATGTCTTTTAAAACCTCACTATGACTAACAAGAGCAAATGCTTCATAGGCCTAAAAGTGCATAAAGTCTGAATCAGTAAGCATGTTGGAAGATAGATGACCAGCAAGTAGGTACGTTGGGTGGCTGTTGTTTTGAAGACACATTTCCTATTGAGATATTTTCTTCTGGATAAATCATGCATAACTTCATGAGAGTTGAAGACCTCAGACAGAAGTGGTAGAGCAGCTACTCACCTTGAGTCAGAGCTGCTAAGAGTTGCAGGAGAGCTTAGCTGAGGCCCAATTAAAAGAGACTGCACTATGGGATCCTGCCTCAAAGGGATCCTGCCTCAAAGGTCCTGACAAGCTGGGGTATTGTAAAGGAAATGGAAGTGCAGTTACCTTGGAAACTGGAATGAGAAATTCTCTAAATTATGAAAATGTCTGAAAATTCAGAAAAGACAATATTTCTAGTTATTAGCAAACTAGGCTAAAGGATCTCTTTTCTGAAAGAAAGATAATTTTAGTAATGAGCAAGCTGAGATTTTTTCTTCATATTCTTTGCCATAAAAAGGGAAAGGCTCCAGGAAGGATGCAAACATTCCTACACACAATGTCTTACCTAATGACCTCCTAGATTTTGCCTCCCTATCCTTTTTCCCTCACTTCAATTGATTTGGGTTGCGCTCTTCCAATCTGGGTTAAAGGGAGGACTGCCAGTGTCACTGAAGCAGAGACAAACTGCAGTCCTTTTTTTGGCCTTTGGCTGTGATGATTCTTCTGCAGCAAGGTGCTTTGGGCAGCAGTTCTTCCTTGGAGGGTGCTACATGCTGTGAAACAAGGAGACTATTAAAACCTTTAAAGCTGTAAAACAGCTTTATTAAATTTGTTCTTAAAAACTGAGTTTAGAAGGGAAGAAATGCTGTATCTGATCCTCAGGTATACCCTCAAACAGGAGGGCAGTCTTCTTGGGGATAGTTCATAAGTGGAAAACTTGATTTCTTGTTGCTCACTAGGTCTAAGCTAATTCTAGAAGATTAAGCATTGTGAAAATTTAAATGCTTATAAATGACCAGTTTTCTGCAGTTTTTCCTCTCAAGGGCATATATTCACAAACTTGGGGAAGAAAATTGCCTCTGAAGCCCCAGTTTGATGACTACCTACCTCACTGTCTAAGCTAAAAACAGTAGGATTGACATAGAAGTACTTTGGGCCAGATGTACAGGACTATAGGGATGCTGGGGAGGGACTCTTCATTAGGAACTGTAGTGACAGGACAAGGGGTAATGGGTTAAAACTTAAACAGAGGAAGTTTAGATTAGATATAAGGAGGAAATTCTTTCCTGTTAGGGTGGTGAGGCACTGAAATGGGTTGTCCAGGGAGGTTGTGAATGCTCCACCCCTGGCAGTGTTCAAGGCCAGGTTGGACGAGGCCTTGGGTAATATGGTTTAGAGCGAGGTGTCCCTTCCCATGGCAGGGGGGGTTGGAACTGGGTGATCTTAAGGTCCTTTCCAACCCTAACTACTCTGTGATTCTATGACTGAGATTCATAGGAGGAAAAATGGCAGAGGAAGCATATTTCTGCCTGAGAAGCATTGGGCTGATCACCCACAGAGAAGTCCAAATATTTGCTCGGAAATGTTCTCAGAGCTCGATAATGTCATGCTGGAAAGTCCACACTCTGAGTCTCTCAACCCAAAAGTTCATGAGTGAACATCTTGCTGCCAGTGAGTCGCCTGGAAGGTTTATCATTAGGTTAGAGAATAGAGGAAAAGGGCGATTGCAGTTTATACTGTGCAGGATTACTGTAATGCCATCATTTGGGCAAATACTGAAAAATGTTGTGCCTGAAGCAGTGGATTGCTACATTGCTCACTGGTTATTTTTATTGCTT